TAGGCCGTCTCGAGACGCACAGCTCCGCACTACCAGTGTCAATGTTAGTGATTATGAGCCTCTTTTCCTCGAGCTGTACTATCCGCTCGGTCGATCAATATGAAATGGTGCTGGTCGCACCACACACACACAGCTGATAAAATCAGGGAAACCCCAGTCAAAGACTGAAACACATCTGATAACTTGTTATCGCTGTCTGGCCCAAAAAGGGGATCCCCTGATATCGTTTGAGAAGCAAACGGCTATGGAAACACAATATGGCACAGCATGCAACATAAAACTCCTCAAGCCCCTTGAAAAGGGCGTTCAACTCAATAGCTGCTTATCTACTGCGTTTCGGGCTGTCCCTGAAACTCTCATCTTCACACTTGGGGCCGTCTTGGGCCTCTTGGGCGATCTTTGAGGGTACTTGGGCCGTCTCGGGCCGTCGGAAGGCCGAAAAAAAGCAAATGCCACAATCATTCAAACACTCATGGGAAATCAATGATTTTGGCCTTTTCGGGCCTTCCTGGAGGCCCTCTTGGAGGCCTCGTGGGCCGTCTTGGGCCATCTTAGTGCCATCTTCGGCCGTCTTGGTGGGCCCCTGGCCTGTCCGACGCCGTCGGAAGCCGTTTGGGGTGCCTCTCTGAGCCGACTTGGGGCCCTCTTGGAATGCTCCAGGGCCGTCTTGGAGGCCATCTTGGGCGTCTGAAAAGCCTCCTTGGGCCGTCTTGGGGGCCGTCTTGGCCTCTTGGGCCGTTCTGGGGCCAAGATCCTCGGGCGATCTTTGGGGGCTCGTGGGCCGTATCGGGCTATCGGAAGGCCGAAACGAAGCAAATGTCAAAGTCCTTCGAGAACTTAGGGGAAATGAATGTTTGGGGCCTTTTCTTGCCTTCCTGGAGGCCCTCTTGGAGGCCTCTTGGGCCGTCTTGGGCCAGCTTCGAGCCAACTTCGGTCATCTTGGTGGGCTCCTGGCCCGTCTGACGCCGTCGGAAGCCGTTTGCGAGGCCTTTCTGGGCCGACTTGGGGCCCTCCTGGGGTGCCCCAGGGCCGTCTTGGAGGCCATCTTGGGCGTCTTGGAGGCCTCTTGGGTCGTCTTTATGCCCTCTTGGAGCCGTCTTGGGGGCCTCGTGGGCCGTCCTGAGGCCATTTTGGAAGCCTCTTGGGCGCTGTGGGGGCGATCTTGGGGGCTTCTTGGGCCGTCTTGGGCCGTCGGAAAGCTGAGAACAAAGCGAATGCGCAAATCCTTCAAACAACTCGTGGGAAATCAATGATTTTGGCCTCTTCGGGCCCTCCTGGAGGACCTCTTGGAGGCCTCTTGGGCCGTCTTGGAGGCCTCTGGGGGGCCTCGTGGGCCGTCTTCGGCCGTCTTGGACTCTCTTGGGCTGCATTTGAGGCCGTCTTGGGCCATCTTGGGCGTCTTGGAGGCCTCTTGGGTTGTCGTTGTGCCCTCTTGGGGCCGTCTTGGGGGCCTCTTGGGCCGTCCTGAGGCCATTTGTGAGGCCTCTTGGGCGCTGTGGGGGCGATCTTGGGGGCCTCTTGGGCCCTCTTGGGTCGTCGGAAAGCAAAAACTCGTGGGAAATCAATGATTTTGGCCTCTTCGGGCCCTCCTGGAGGACCTCTTGGGCCGTCTTGGAGGCCTCTGGGGGGCCTCTTGGGCCGTCTTCGGCCGTCTTGGACTCTCTTGGGTTGTATTGGAGGCCGTCTTGGACCATCTTGGGCGGACTTGGAGGCCATTTTGGACCATTTTGGAGGCCATCTTGGGCCAATGTGGCCATCTTGGAGACCATCTTGGGCCACCTTGAGCGAACAAATTTGAGAGTTGCGGGCCTTATCCGGCGGGGCGGGCCGAATCCCCAGGGGGAGTTCTTGTGGAAAAAGAACCAAAACCAAAACCGACATTGTCTAGCACGCCAGGCACCCTTGCGATGAATCGATAGGGGGCGGCGGATCGAAGACGCCTACGGCGAATCACCGCCGCCCCCTGCCCCTTTGGAAGCGCTTGGGCCGTTCTGGGGCCATCTTGGAGGCCTCTTGGGCGATCTTGGGCGATCTTTGGGGGCTCTTGGGCCGTCTCGGAGCGTCGGAAGGCCGAAAAGAAGCAAATGTCAAAATCCTTCAAAAACCCATGGAACATCAATGTTTTTTGCCGCTTCTGGCCTTCCTGGAGGACGTCTTGGAGGCCTCTTGGGCCGTCTTGGGCCAGCTTCGAGCCAACTTCGGCCATCTTGGTGGGCTCCTGGCTCGTCTGACGCCGTCGGAAGCCGTTTGGTGGGCCTCTTTGGGCCGACTTGGGGCCCTCCTGGGGTGCCCCAGGGCCGTCTTGGAGGTCATCTTGGGCGTCTTGGAGGCCTCTTGGGCCCTCTTGGGGCGGTCTTGGGGGCGTCTGGGGCCGTCATGGGGCCATCTTGGAGGCCTCTTGGGCGATCTTGGGAGCCTCTTGGGCCGTCTTAGGCAGTCGGAAAGCCGAAAAGGCGCAGCCGTCTTGGAGGCCTCCTGCGGGCCTTTTGGGCCGTCGTAGACCATCTTGAGGTCATCCTGGGCCGTCTTGAGTGCATCGTGGAGCCATCGTAGCCGTCTTTGAGGTCATCTTGGTTGTCTTGGAGGCATCTTGGAGGCCATCCTGGGCCATCTTGGCCGTCTTGGAGGCCATCTTGGGCCAACTTGGGGCAACAAAGGCATTGACAGACGGATTTTCAGGAATCTCCCGGGACCCCGGCGGGACGGGCCGAAGCCCCAGGGGGAGTTCTATGGGAAAAAGAACCAAAACCATATCGTCCGGCACGCCAGGCACCCCTGCGATGAATCGACAGGGGGCGGCGGATCTAGTGGCTTTCGCCCATCCCGTCACCGTGCCTGGGTTGTGGGTTAGAGGCCTCTTGAATGTGTGTTTGGATATCGTGGGAGGCCTCTCGGGGCCTCTTGGAGGCAGTTTTGAGACCTCTTGGGGGCCGTTTGGGGGCCTCTTGGGGCTTCTTTTTGGGCCTCTTGTGGGCCTCGTGGGGCCTCAAGGGGCTTGGGCTCCCTTGGGGGCCTCTTGCAGCAACCTGGGGGCCTCTTGGGGCGGAAGGCTCGAATTGTCGGCTCGTGTTCCTCCTTTTGAGCCCCTCTTGGGGCCTAGTTGGGCGATCTTGGGCGCCTCTTGGGCTGTTTTGGGGCCCTCTTGGACCGTCTTGGGGCCCTCTTGGGGGCCTCTTGGACCGTCTTGGGGCGATCTTGGGGGCCTCTGGGGCCATCTTGGAGCGTCGGAAGCCCGAAAACGCGAGAACGCGAAAAACATAGAAACACACAAGGAAAATCAATGATTGTTGCCTCTTTGTACCGGGTGTCCTCATGGAGCGCTATTGGAGCTTCTTTGGTGCCTCTTGGGCCGTCTTGGGACCATCTTGGGCGTCTTGGAGCGCTTTTGGGCTGTCTTGGAGGCCTCTTGGACCTTCTTGGGCGTTTTCTGGGGCCCTCTTGGCCCGTCTTGGGGCCCTCTGGCCTTTGGACAAGTCATGCGAGGCAGTCTAAGAACGCGCGGGAGCGCCCAGGACATTTTTGAGAATTTGGAGCCCCAGCCAATAGAATACTACACTCCCAGAGTCCTGAGCACAGAGAGCACCACATGAGAGCCTGGAGAAAATTCCACTTCGCGCCTCGTGGCACGGTGGCGGATTTATGTGTTCTCAGTCGTTACTGGCTGTCACTCCGTTAAAGGCACTGCCGATAATCAATGTATGCAGACAGGTACTAGCATTAATAACCGTTGGTTGGTTCTGAACATGCTCCCATGTTCAAGAGGACGAGTCGGAGGAGGGGTAGCAGCATGATGATGATGCATGATGACGACGACGATGATGATGACGATGATGATGATGACGATGACTGTGACGATGACGATGAAATGATGATGCAGAAATTGAAAATGACGATGGCGATGAGGATGAAGATGAAGATGAAGATGAAGATGGAGACGGAGATGAGTATGAAGATGAGGATGATAATGCTGATGTTCATGATGATGATAATGATGATGATAATGATGATGATGATGATGATGATGATGATGATGATGGACATCGTGATGATTGTGATGGTGATGGTGATTGTGTTGATGATGACGATGATGACTACGATGATGATGACACTGATGGTGCGATGATGCTGATGTTGATGATGATGATGATGATGATGATGATGATGACGATGATATTGATGATGATGATGATGATGATGATGATGATGATGATGATGATGATGATGATGATGATGACGGTGATGGGGATGGGGATTGGGGTGATGATGATATGATGATGGGGATGGTGATCATGATGAAGCGAGCAGAACGAGGAGGACGAACAACCAGGTGGAGTAGGAGGGGGGGGGCATAATATTGGAAGCAGCGCAAACACTGATGACGGCGCACGGGTTCGTGGCGGGCCCCGCTTCTATGCGAAACCATCGCTCTCCGTCGCAAGATCGGGCGGCATCGGCGCCATGCTTCGGGGCATGTTCCCCGATCTGGCGCCCACGCGCCAGATGGATCCGCAGGTAGTCCATGTCAGCGCGTGCCCGACGGAGGCACACCAGTGAGGCGTCGGAGGTCGGGGTCCTCACGACCCAGATCGGCCCAAAGCCGGTACACCAGGACACGTCCGGACACCTCACGGGTTCCTCTTTGATACATGCTATTCGAGCTTCGCTTAGCCGTGGCCACTGGAGTGGGCCAGAAATTTGAAAGTCCTCTTCCTCCTCATCCAAAATTTGTCTGCCCCTGAAACCAGTCGCAACGTTAGGTTCTGGATAGGCTGGGGGGTAGGGACCCGATAGCCCCACCCAGCTCAGGAGCGTTCGGATTCGCTGCCGGGGACCCATCGCCACGCATCGCCGATTCCAGCTCGATGTTTCCCTCCCTTAGCTGGTACCCACCCCTTCCGTCGCCCCTCATTAAGAACCTCAGAGGTCTCGTGCGGAGTCCTCGGGAGGCCCGAGGAAGGCCCAGAGCGTCGAAACAGCTCGTTGCACCCGTTCGGGATCAAGCGATTTTGGGATCGAGCGCTTTGTTCGCAGACTCTGCGCGGGACTCTTCTGCTCACCAGCCGGTTCTTTCTGTGCGGTCCGATCGATCGTCGGAGGGAGAGCATGGCGAGTCGCAACTTCGGCGCCGTTGGCCAGCACGGCGTAAAATTATTATGCTTCGCGGTCGTCCTCGCCACATCGGCCAGCTGCGTCGACGGCACCAGCACCATTGACATCGATGACACCTCCGTGCTCCGAGTTGCGATGATATCGGACCTGCAAGCTACCAGCAAGGACGAGTCAACTTTTTCGACTGGCTTGAAATTTGGCATGCAGTACATCAGAGACCATATGGGCGGAATGTCCGTGGGAGGGGCATCAGGGCCAAAGCTCAGAATCGAGGTGATCGAGTACGACTCAATGGGCGACTCGAGTAGCAGTGGACAAGTCGCCGATATGGTCGCGCTGGCTGTCAACGGCTCGGACATGAATGGCAACCCAGTGGGCGACATTGATGTGATCGTGGCGGCCACGAGCTCGACGAACGTGGCCGTAATCGACAATGCTCAAAGTGCTCTCATCCCGAATATCCATGCCGGCGGCGGGAATCCCGCCATTTGGACCACCGACAACAACTATGCATTCGGCATGCACCTACCGTTCCCTGAGTACACCAAGGGGCCCATGAAGCTTTTCCAGCTGTATGGCATGAAGACCATTGGCATCATCAGATCCGAAAGTTTTGGCTTTGCCAAAATCTCCACAGTTCACGCGCTGAAGTGGGCGCAGCAGGCGAATCTCACAGTCGTGGGGCCCACTGCTGATTGGTGCAGCAGCAACGCCGACTACTACCGCAGCTGCACGCTCGTTGACGGCAACTGCCGCTGCGGCGAACAGGATATCGCTAATCAGTTCAATTTGGGCATTACAGTCACCGACGGGCCCACATTCTACGAAATTGTGGATGACGGTAGTAAGCCTGGGCCCTGCACCGCTAGCGGGGATTGCTCTCGGGGACTGCATAACACGAACCTCACGAATTTCCACAGGCGTGTCATCCAGGATATGAAGAAGCAAGGTGTTCCCGACGTTCTCCTGAATTTCGCCCACGGTTACCACAACGTCGTGCAGGCCATGGTGGAAGAAGAGTTCGCTCCCAAGGTCGTAGTGGGCTGGCAGGGGGGAACGACAACGAGCTGGGCAATTGAGAATACTGGCACCCTGCAGAAGCCGCACGGTTACTGGAACGTGGGGTTTGGTCAGTGGCACAAGGCGATGAGCTACACCGACCCCGTGTTCGGATCCACGGCAAAGGCAGTGGAGAATTTCGAGAGTGCGGACTACAGCGCGTTTCACAACGGGCTGGACGGGAGTGAACTGGGCTACGACACGGCCGGAGGAGGACCTCCTTTCTCCCGTCCCCTTGCGTCCTCGCCCCTCCGTCCTCGAGCGTCCCTCTCTCCCTACCCTCCTCGCTCCCCCTCTCCTTCTTCCGCCTCCTCCTCCCTTCTCCTCCCTTCTCCTCCGTCCTCCTCCTCTTCCTCCTCCTCCTCCGCGTTCTCCTCCTCCTCCTCCTCATCCTCATCCTGCTCCTGCTCCTCCTCCTTCTCCTCCTCCTCCTCGTCCTCCTCTTTCTCCTCTTCCTCCTCCTCCTTCTCCCCCTCCTTCTCCCCCTCCTCCTCCTCCTCCTCCTCCTCCTCCTCCTCCTCTCTTCCTCCTCCTCCTCCTCCTCCTCCTCCTCCTCCTCCCTCCTCCCCCTCCTCGCTCCTCCTCCTCCTCCTCCTCCTCCTCCTCCTCCTCCTCCTCCTCCTCCTCCTCCTCCTCCTCCTCCTCCTCCTCCTCCTCCTCTCCTCCTCCTCCCCCTCCTCTCCTCCTCCTCCTCCTCCTCCTCCTCATCATCCTCCTCCTCCTTCTCCTCCTCGTCCTCCTCCTCCTCCTCCTCCTCCTCCTCCTCGTCCTCCTCCTCCTCCTCCTCCCTCGTCCTCCTCGTCGTCCTCTCCTCCTCCTCCTCCTCCTCCTCCTCCTCCTCCTCCTCCTCCTCCTCCTCCTCCTCCTCCCCCCCCCCTTCTCCCTCCTCCTCCTCCTCCTCCTCCTCCTCCTCCTTCCTCCTCCTTCCCTCCTCCTCCTCCTCCTTCTCCCTCCTCCTCCTCCTCTCCCCTCCTCCTCCTCGTCCTCCTCCTCCTCTCCTCCTCCTCCTCCTAACCCTCCTCCTCCCTCCTCCTCCTCCTCCTCCTCCCTCCTCCTCTCCGTCCTCCGTCCGTCCGTCCTCCTCCTCCTCCCTCTTCTCTCCTCCTCCTCCTCCTCCTCCTCCTCCCTCCCTCCCTCCCTCACTCCCTCCCTCCCTCCCTCCCTCCCTCCCTCCCTCCCTCCCTCCCTCCCTCCCTCCCTCCTCCTCCTCCTCCTCCTCCTCCTCCTCCTCCTCCCTCCTCCTCCTCCTCCTCCTCGTCCCTTTCACAATTACTCAATATGAATTCTACTCTCCCTCTTCCCCTGATGACGTTTGAAAATATTGCCCCCCCCCCCCCGCGTATTGTTTTTTTACACACAGGATTTCCCGGAGTTGGGTTTGCGCCTGCACTTTTTTCTCTCGCTGAGGCGCCGGCCTCATTTTCGGGCCCCGCTCGTTCCGAATCGTGCTCCCGCTGCAGCGCTGGCCTCATTTCCGTGCTTCCGCTCGTTCCGAATCGTGCTCCCGCTGCAGCGCTGGCCTCATTTCCGCGCTTCCGCTCGTTTCGACTCGTGCTCCCGCTGCAGCGCTGGCGTCATTTCCCGTGCCATGCCACGGCATGCAATGCAATGCTAGGTTGATACTACGCTTTGCGGTGCTCTTCTACGCCATGCCATGCCGTGCTCTACAATGCATCGCGTACCCTTTCGGGATCATTGCCCTGCTCGACATCCGACTGTGCGAGTAGAGAGGGGATCTACGCCATGGTAAGGGATGGGAGGGAGGGGTAGGATGTCAGATATGACGCGAGCGCACCTAGCTTGCCCCCTCCCCCTCCCCTTCCTCCTCCTCCTCCTCCTCCTCCTCCTCCTCCTCCTCCTCCTCCTCCTCCTCTTCCCCTCTCCTCCTCCCTCCGTTCTCCCTCCTTCCCCTCCCCTCCTCTTTCCTCCTCCCTCTCTCCCCTCCTCCTCCTCCTCCTCCTCCCTCCTCCTCTCCTCCTCCCCTCTCCTCCTCCTCCTCCTCCTCCTCCTCCTCCTCCTCCTCCTCCTCCTCCTCCTCCTCCTCCTCCTCCTCCTCCTCTTCCTTTCCCTCTTCCTCCTGGCTCAGCCCGGTCGGAGGCAAGGTGCCGACAGGTCGGGCTCTCGCGATTCCCCCCGCGCGCTGATGTGTCGCCTGGCGACAGTCGCCAGGGCCGGGTTTCGCGGCCCACTTGGGCAACCCTGAACGATCGGGGCCGCGATCGGTTCAAGGTTGAACGACGGACGCCGTGTCAAAAACCTCTGCGCGCGCCGACGCCGGACGAACCTAACCTAGGCCAGGGTCTCGCGGCCCAGCCTTAGACATGCTCGCGTCGTAGAGAATCACGACGGGCGGTTTTGGGCCGTTTTCGGGTTCCTCCTGCCCTCGCCGGTCCCGGGGGTCGTGAACAACAAGGCTCGCCATGAGATTTTGGCCTTGGGGACGGGGTCGGATGGGGTTGGGACTCCTGGGGGTCCCAGACATCGCATTTCTAAGGCGCGCGACCTGGAGTGGATGCAAGCATGTATTTGTTGAGCGTTCCGTAGTTCAAATAATCCAATGGCCTTCGGCCCATCCGCCACCGTGTCTGGGTTGTGGGTCAGAGTTCTCAGGGATGTGGGGTCTTTTTGGAGCGCTCTCGGGGGCCTCTTGGGTGCAGTTTTAGGGCCCCTTGGGAGCCTCTTGGGGGCCTCTTGGGACCTCTTGGGGGCCTCTTGGGGGCCTTTGGGGGCCTCTTGGGGACATTGGGGGCCTCCTGGGGGCCCTTCGGGGCCGAGGGCTCGAATTGTCCGTTCGGGTCAACCATCTGTGCTCCCTCTTGGAGCCGTCTCCGGGGCCGTTTTGGGCGCCTCTTGGGCCGTCTTGTTATGCTCTGGGCGGTCTCAGAGGAGGCCGATTAACCGTATACTGCCGAGAATAAACCCCCAGGGAGAAGAAAGTTCGGCGGCTACGGTGTGATAATAAAAGTTGCCCACCATGACCAGCATAAAGAAGTTAACAGAGGAGCCAAAGCCGAGGATATCTTGAGACATCCTCAACAATGGCTTGTCTCGCTTGAGACATCCTCGCCAAGATTTAGACACATATAAACAGAGAGAAAGAGAAGAAACGAGCAGGAGAAGGAGAGGAGGAGGAGGAGGAAGCAACAATCCACAGTTCAAAACCTATTAGATTTTGTTTGTAAGCGCTTAACGGAAATTAAGATGTTCATCTGCTCGTGTAGGGTAGCTCATCTGCCTCGTTTTCCCAGGATAGTCAACCACAGCGATAAACAAGTTCAGGGGGGCACGGAAAGAAGGAGAAAGGTTGAGAGAGAGAAAGAAAGAGAAAGAGAAAGAGAAACAGAGGACATATAGAGAGACTGAGAGAAAGAGAGAACGAGGTTGAGAAAGAAAGAGAAAAAAGATAGAGAGAGACGGAGAAAGAGAGAGAGAGAGGAGAGGAAGATGAGAAGGAGGAAGAACAAATCTAAAGTTCGAACTTTATTAGATTTTATTTGTAAGCGCTTAAAGGGAATTGAGATTTTCATCTGCTCGTGTAGGGTGGCTCATCTGCCTCGCTTTCCCAGGGTAATCAACCACAGCGATAAACAAGTTCAGGGCGCCAGGGGGAGGAGAAGGAGGATGAGGAGGAGAGGAGAAGGAGACATAAGAAGAACGTAGCCTCGATGGCGAACTTTTCACGGTGATGATGAAGTTCGGCCTCCGCGCCCCCGCGCCCCCGACCAAACTCTTAGTGGCCGTGGATAATCAACCCTTATGTGTATAGGGGGGTACATTATTATCGTTGGTATGGGGTTATGTTAAAATGCTTCAAATAGGTCAAAACCACATTTATGGTTTCTTTAGGTTAAAACTCAAGGTATGTCAAAACCATACTTAGAAACAAATGGACTCGGCGCTGCTTCGGTGAGCACAGTGGCAGCGGCATTCTGCAACAACCTCATCGCTTTCGCTTGGAAATCTTGCGTGGGCATGGGGGGGGTCTTGGAGAGAACGGTGTCCCATCGTGGCGTCATTCTACGCGATGCGATGCGACGCAACGAAATGCAACAGTGGTATGCCAAGCTATTGTATGCTACGATATACAATGCTGCGTTGTGCTGTGCTACGAAATGCAATTTTATGCTACGAGAATTGCACATTCAGTTCTATGCTATGTTATGCTGTCCAGTGCTATGCTATGCTACCCTCTGCTATGCTACGCAAGCTCCGCCCCCCCCCCCTCCTTCCGTGCCAGCGCCGCGCAGGAGGAGGAGGCTGAGGAGGAAGGGGGGGGAGGGGAGGAGGAGGAGGAGGACAAGGAGGAGGAGAAGGACGAGGAGGGGAGCAGCAGGATGAGGAGGACGCGGAAGGAGTTCAGCGCCTCCGCCGCCGCGGGGCGGGCGCCGCCGCCGCGGCGGCGGGGGGGGGGCCTTGTTTATTACGGGGGCATCTTCACTGCGCAGGCGGCGCGCGGGATGATGACGAGGAGGAAAATGGGGAGGTGAGGGAGGAGGAGAGGTAGGCCTTAATTTGTTTTCCCCTCGCAGTGCTTGCGTTCAAAGAGCGCGCGCTTCCTGTGCAGTGCTTGCGTTCAAAGAGGGCCCACTTCCCCTCGCAGCGCTTGTAATTAAATGTCGGATATCATGAATAACCGTTTGGGCGCAAATCATATGATGTGCCGATGCCCCTTTTAATGCAGTGAGCCGCTCAGATAGAGACAGACCTTGTGGAGTTTGCAGATGCTACAGCTGCCGAGCCACGTGCCTGGGCCTCTCGGAGTTTGCAGATGACGCAACAGACCTACAAGCAGCAGGTGATACAGCAGTTGCGGCATGCGACGGTGAATCATCTCGGTGGGCTCTGACGGTGTTGCGCAACGAGTTGAGGGGAAAACCTTCGGAGTTGGTGTCTGGCCGAGCGGTGGAGTCGATGGCGTGGCTGATTAAGAGCAACGGTTTCCGACTGATCCCGTCTCTGAGTCGATGATCACAGCCGCCGCGGCGTCCTCATCGTTCACGTCGACGATTTCTTCTAGTGAGGTTCACGGCCAGAGCGAGTGGGAGACTAAATGCACATTGACCCGTTTCTATTCAGCCTTGCATTTATTGATGTGGAGACAAGGTTTGCAGATGTCGCACCGTTTGCGTGCCGAGGTAATTTGTTTCAGCGAACGCGCATCTTACGACGAGACACCTTTGCCAGTGAGGGTGCTTGCCGAAGAGAATGTCGTCGTGAATGTCGGAGCGGGCGGCGCAGCAATAGTGGGGCCATGTCTTGACAACGCTGCAGTCGTCGCGGCTTTGTCGGAAGAGCCCGAGGCGCAGATTCTGCATGCGGCGTTTCGCATTTCGACGTTGCGGGAGGCCGGTTCCACCTGCCAGGACGTCAGTTTGGAGTTCCCTTGCCTGTTGCAGGTCATGGACAGAGCCAAGGGCGAGACCTACGCGCATTGCCTCGGCTTCCAGGGCAGGAAGGGCCTGGGCGACATCTCTACCAGATTCATGCGGCGCGATCGGCACGTGATGAGTGATTCTGACAGTGCTGTGCTGCGGGGCGAGCGGGGCCTCGCTGCAGAGCGCGTCGCATTTCGGCGATTGCTTCCAACGGGATCGACAAGTTAATGAAGGATGACGCCAGTGGAATTATCAACATAGCTCTATCGTTGAAGGCTTCGGAGGCAATGCGAGTATTTCGCCGCGCCCTCAGGGCAGTCATTCGTGCGCGACCTGTCGTGCTCAGGGGGTCGCCTGGTTGCGTTGCAGATCGTCGCAGGGCCGAGCTGCGCGACGTCTTCTGCCCGATCCAGCCTGGCAACCGCTCCGCTTTCATCGATGGGGCCATCGTGCAGCTCCGCGCCAATGGTAATTGGGACAACAAAGATACATTCGAAGTCTACGTTTCAGATCCATGCGAATACGAGGAGGTGGTCCATGACGTTTGCGTTCATGTCGCGAAGGCGGTGGCTGCACGTTGCTTCCGACCCTGCCCGAGGTCGCGGCGGGCAGGCGCGAGGGGTGCGCTGGAGAGGATTGGGCTGTTGAGGAATATCCACGGATTGTTCCAGGAGGCGTGCACGGTGTTCTGCAAGGGTTACAGCGTGTGCATTCCAGAGCAGCACCAGGGGCAGATGCTTCCGATCGTTGACGTTGTTGACCAGCCAGCCCAGAACTCCGAAGGGCATCTCCCCGTTGACCACAAGAGCAATGCGAATGCCGAGTTCATCCAGCAGAAGAAGCAGTGCACTGCGGTGTCTGCGTTTCGGGACCAGCGAAGTTGGTCGTCATGACGAACCGCATCAAGCTCTCATGTAATCTGCCATCGCCTTGGCGGGCAAGGCGCGGGAGAAGCAGCAGAACGCTCGCCGCGCGTTTGCGGCGCAGCAGGGCGTGGACGCCAAACCGAGACGGTTCAGAGTACAGGAGGCGCACGAGGTCGTTCAGGAATCGAAGTGCAAGCACGAGGTGGCCGACTTGCTCGAGGGGGCGAATGATGCGTGGGAAGCCTGGCCGTTAGCCAGTCGAACATCGAGTGCTCGGTGTCTGGCGTTCCGACCGCTGGCGTTCGGGGCGGCCTATATGTATGTGAAGTTGGTTCGGCCCTGCATGAATTCCCCCAATCGCACGTGCCGGCTTGCCTTTGAGAGCATGCGAGATAACGACATGTTCTACATGGGTCGAATGCTTGGCTCGTGCCCGAGGTGCCGTTTCGACCCCTGGACGTTGAAGCTCGTCGAGCACTGCGGCGAGGACGTCTGCGCCGAGCGCGCCGTCATCGACGTTGTCACCAGGGCAATGCACGAGGAAGTTGACAATGCGAGAAGGGAGGCCACTCATGCGAGCATCCGTCGGGGCGTGATCAAGGCGCCATGCCAGTCGCCAACGATAGAGCTCGGTTTGGCCAGCGGCCGCTTCGTTGACCGGAAGGGCAAGCAGATCTGCGACTGCAGATCTCCGGATGCTGGCGGCGATGACCAGCCTGGGGAGGCTAGCGGCGCCGAGGAGCCAGCGCCGAAAAATTCCAAGGGGCCAAGTGGAGGCGCGTGCAGGGCGTGGCTGAGCGAGAAGCTCCGAGGCGTGCCCAGAGCGGATCAGGACTTCAAGGGCGTCCACGTTGCGCGCGAGCAGCAGACGCCAGAGGAGAGGTTTAAACACATTAAGGATGGAGCTGCAGCCGCGCAAGCGGGTCGAGCAGGCGCTGCAAAACCACGCGGCCCCGATGCTCTGGATGTTCAGAGGGCCTTGCATCGCGATGCACGCCGCGACGAACTGCGGGTGATCAAGGGATGCGTTGCCGACCGCATGCGGTCGCAAGTGCATGGCGACCAGCAGCCGCTGCATTTGTCATCTTCGAGCATGGATGTGCTGCCCTCTGGCGCAAATACATTCGCCTGCACTGCAGACGGCGTCGCGCAGGCCCGCAGGACCAAGCGCGTCGCTGACAAGAAGCGCGCGCTGGAACAGAAGCTTAACGACGTAGCGCTGGCGGCGCACACGGGGCAATCTGATGTTTCGGCAGAGGCATTGGAAGTTGTGTCTGGCGTCTGCATGTCGCGTTTGCCACTCACTACGGCATGGGAGCACCGGCCGCCTTTAACTTCGACGGTCAATTCAGCCTGCTGGATGCCTCGGTCAGCAAGAGATTTGGCCAAGCTCGTGGCGAGCCTAGACTCGTCGTCCAACCCCGCTCGCAGGCGCATTGCTTCGACCCTGGACTCGGATTGGGAGGCGCGCCATCTCGTCGTCCAGCCTGACGTGTGCGAACAGTTTGGCAAGATGCCCGATGACCGCCCGGCGCGTTGGATTTGCAACCGTTGCTGCTGCCGCGGTGACGAACGTCTGCTTAGGGCCACGGTGTCCAGACTGCACGCGTGCCTCGGTCTAGACTTTCCGACATGTTAGCCTGCTGGACGCGATTTACAGCAGAGTTGGTTTGTCGCGCGCGTCGTCAGTCGGGCGCCTGAGCCATTGGCGGAGGAAGAGGCGGAGGATCACGCCACTCAAACATAGTGGCTGCACATTTCGTCTCGGAGCCTGAGCCCTCAATTTGCAGTGTATACGGGCATGGCCTCGGGCCAATCCATCGAGGACGACTTCGTCAAGCTCGAGGCCGAGTCCGACATGTGCTGCGACTACGGCCTGGTGGATTCCATAAGGGATGAAATTGGATCCGGCGCTGCGTTGCATCGCCGACGTTATCGCCTCATCGCTTCTGAAGCCGTCGTCGGCGCGACCCAGCCGAAATTCCCGGAGGCGCGCGCGTTTGGGACGAAGGTGTGCTTTCGGCCTGGGTCGGCGATTCACAAGAGATCGGCTGCCTTCCTGAGGTCGTGCAGCGTTGAGCTTAAGCCTCTGACGTCGTTGGGTGGCGCGTGCGGGGCCCCTCCAGTTATCCTCAAGAGGGGGGGATGGGGGGGCGGGCACCAGTTGTTCCATGCATTTTGCGCTCTCCTCAGGTCGCAAGCCGCTCGCCTCGGCGCCCCCAAGCACGGCGGTGACCTGGGCGGCGCCGAGGGCGAGGATGCAGAGATTGGCATCGACAACGGGAAAGAGCACAACGACCATGGAGACCTCGACGTGAACATCGACGGCATCGAGGGCGAAGGCTCCGAACCTAAATGGGGGCGAGAACGAGGAGGATTCAGGGGATGGGCAGGAGGATCCTCCTGGCGGCGGAGGCGGAGGCGGTGACCCTCACTGTGGAGGCGACGGCGGTGGCGGAGGCGGTGATCCTCCTGGCGGAGACGACGGCGGTGGCCTTCCTTGCGGAGGCGGCGGCGGCGGGCCAGGGGGTCCGCACGTCCCTGCTGAGGTGCACTTCCCTATCGGATGCGGCGAGATCGCGTGCTACGGGACCGCCAAGAAGCTCGCGGCCCACTGCAGGGGCTTAGGACAAAGAAAGTGCAGTCGCGGGCGGACGGCGCTCGCAGGGGCTCGGCACGCCAAAGGTCGGCCGGTCGGCTTCTTGGCGGCCTGGCTCTTGGACGGCCACGACTGGACGGATAAGCCGAACCGCTGGAACATGCGTCGCCTCCATGACTTACATGATGCGCCTGGGCGCGCGCCGCGCCGTCGAGCGCATGGCGCGCGACGGCGACGTGAATGCCTTCCACTTATTGGCATCCGAACGGGCGCGCAGGCATGGAGGGGGGCCCGAGCCCAATATGCAGCCCTAGCTTTGATCATGTGTGGAGCGTGCCGCAGTGCAGACATCATTTCTGCCAGCGTTCTACACATCATGACATACGCTATACCATGACGTCTTAGGAACGCTATGCACTGCTGAGCTATGCTATGACCCAGGGATCATCATGGGCTCTCGGTGCATTTGGGCGTCTATCGGCGTGTCTCGGTGCCCCCCCCCCACCTTGCATCCCTGATCCCTCGATCCTCCTTCCCCCATTCCCCATCCGAGGGCCCCGAGCTGAGCGCTCGCGGGGCCCCCGTTCCAGGCCCTCTCGGGGGGGCCCTGAAATCCTGGGCAACTCGAGAGGGCTATCGATCATGTCTGCGTTCGTTCTTCCCGAGGCCTCCTGTTCACCTTAGGGCATCATAACCCACCCGATCCACTCCTGTACTGTTCTACCAAACCTACTATCACATCGTACCATCGTATATGTATTTGGTAGTAATCATACCGTGTCAAAGCACAGCTTAGCATGGCCGATCCTGATGTTTCGTAGCACGCGCTATCGCGTCCTAGCCCCAGACGGGCCACGCCATCAAGATCCATCCAGCGCCTCGCCCGGGCCCCCGAAACCGTCAAAGAGAGCCCCGTCGCGTCTGGCGCCAGCGCCCCGCATCCAGGGATCACCGCCCCCCATCTTGGCAAGCTGACATCGGAGGCTGTCTAACGTGATGGATGCCTTAAAGGTGGCCCCCGCCCTACTCGGCCTCAATGCCGAGTAGAGCTAGGGCCACTGCGCGCGCTGCTGTGACGGGTGCAAGGTGGCCCCACGGGGCTTGTTGAAGTGGCCCTATGGCCGCGCGTGAGCGCCCCAGCGCTCGGCCCGCGTTCTTACCGACCCTCCCGTGCCCCCCCCCCCCCCCACTTGAACTCCGCCCCCCCTCCTGCCTTCCCCCGCCCCATCTCTCCACCTCGGCGCTACTGCTCCTCCGACCCCGACCCCGCCATTTGTTTTCTGATAGCGTTTGCGAAGTGCTACCGCCGATAGTTGTTCGTGGCCGCCCCGCGTGGCTCTGGCCTGCTCGGGCGCCGATTCCGATGAGCACGTCGCCCCGTCCGAGGCCACTCGCCCCCTCTCCCCTCCTAGCCCCCCAATCAACCCCTCTTCGGACCCCCCTGTTTGTTTTTCACTCCCAACCTGATCCCCACCCCCGCCCGCCCCCAACCGCCAGATCATTTCTCTCCCCACTCTTGGGCCAAATTCGGCCCATCGAAGCGGGCCGTCGGCATCGCCCTCGCAAGGTGCAGCACGACCCGCGCTACGCCGAGGGAGTTCGTCGCCCCATTTAGATGGCCAGGCCTCGCGCGCTCCCTGACCCACTGGAGCGCGACATCACTGCGGCAGGGAGTGTCGGGACCCACACGGATCAGGGCCATGCTTTCTCTACTGGTTTACCCCGATCTCGAGTCGAGCCCATGGCCCATGGCGCAGAGAATCTGCAGTTCTAACGACAGATGGTGCTGCACAGTATGGCTGCCCCATACAATTTGCCAGAACTGTAGGTGCAGTGTGATTGTGTATGAGCGCGTTGTGCAAGAGTCCTTCGGCTCGAATTCAGAGCTCAGTGCAGCGCGCGGCTTCTCAGTGCGCGGCGCTGCAGTCGTCTGCGGCGTTGGCCTCCGTGAGCCTTGTGCACGCCAGGCCCCCTGCAAACAAGGCGATCGCGCGAACAGGTTTGGCACGGCATGGGGCGCTGAGCAATGCCAGTAGATGTCAGGATATGCGAACCATGTTGCTACGCTGTGCAATGCTATGCTATGCCGCCAATGCCACGTTGTGGTGTGTCGTTGTTGTATTGGTATCCCAGGTGTACGAGCTGCTCCGCACTGATTCCGGAAGCGCTGCATGCGGCGCTATGCTATGCTGTGCGGTGCTATGCAACCGTGGTGTGGGATATTATGATGTGCATTGCTATGCCATGTAATGACTTGCGATACAATATTATGCAAAAGCGGCTGGCTATGCGTTATGCGGTATGCTATGCGATGCTATGGATTGCGACGATGATATGCTAGGGCGGCGACGACGACGACGACGACAACGACGACGAGGACAACACCGACGACGGCGACCACGACGACGACGATGACCGTGACCATGACCATGGCGACGGCGCCGACGACGCCGACGACGACGCCGACGACGACTACGTCGATGGCGGCGGCGGCGGCGACGAGGACAGCGACGACGAGGGCGACGACGACGAGGAGGACGACGACGACGACGATGCCGTCGTCCGAAGCCTCTGGATCCCTGCTTGCCCGAAGGCGCTGCCGCGTCAAGTAGCGGGCATGATTGAGCCAAAAACAAAGCCCCTAGCCCTCGAGCGACAACAACGACGGCCTCCGCCTGATACTCACCCACACATTTTTCGGGCCCCGCCCCCCAGATTTTGGAGTTGATGAATGATAGGGCGGCCCTGCCAAGTCAAGTGATCCGTTGTCGTCTGTTCTACTCGAATCGGATTCTCCTTCTCGGCATGCCGCTTGGTGAGGTCACAGCATGGTTTTGAATCCTCTCGGGTGTCTTGTCGCATCAACTCCGTCTTGCCTTTTCACACATTCCAGCCCCCCCGCAGCAATTTGGGCTTGCATGCTGGCAGGGCTGACCTGGCCAGATTGTCACACGCACAATATACGGTGTGTTCTTTTCGCCCCGGCTGACGGGGCGCGTGCTCCACGTGGGCATGGGCGCGGGGTCAAGCGGCGCTGACCCAGCGAGCGGCGCGCAGCCAGCTATGGCACAACCTCTTGTTGCCCTCTTCCTATTGCAAGGGTGGGTGGCGTCAGGCTTCGACACGGCTGTGCTCGAGGCGCACGGAGCAGCTCGCTTGCGAGCGATGGGCGTGGAAATCAAGCGGCTCGGCCTCGTCGACTTGCACAGGGAGGACTGGCTCGCCCAGGTGCCGAGCCTCATCTCCATGTCGAACCTTTGCCCTCCGACGAGCCATAGGGGCTACCTGTCGTTTCTTCTGAGGAAGTACTTGCAGTGGAACGCGATCGCATCAGAGCGGAGGGCGCAGTGCGAGATCATGGCTTTCGAGTCGGTCTGCGCACAATGCCCATCTTCGCGTGGTGAGAGCATCACGCGGTCGAGCGACGCTCGTCGCGGCGGGGCCGCGCCCGTCGTCGAGGCCGCGATGGGGCACGTGACTGGCTACGTTCCGAAGGAATCCAATCATGATGCTGGCGACGACCAGAAGCCTCTGAACGGAGGCGGGAACAACGGAGTGCTCATGAAGCTCCACGCCCCCCTCGATCCGAGCGATCTCATCTCGGCGAACGGCGACGGCTCCATCAATGTAGTTGCGATGCGTCCTGCTGCCAGTGCGAATGGCATGAAGGCGGTGTTCCTTGGCGAGTGGGACGGGGCATTGCCCCATCGGGCGCGCGGTTGGGGCCATGTACCGCCAGGCGCTCGATCATGAACGGCGCTGCGGGATGGTCTGACCAGGGCATCGTGCCAACTCGATCCTTGAACAACCAGCGCCCTTCCACATACAAGGAGTTCTACGAGTACGCGGTGCAGTACCGCGCGGTGCAGATCGTCGATGAAGCGACGCGCATGGATGCTTCTTGGCCACGGGCCTGGGAGGACAGACTCAATCCATATGTCCCCATCAATGCGGCGTGCATGTGGCATTGGGCGCGGGCCTGCACCAACGCTGACGACCTGCCCGCGATTTTCAGCGCAGCTCAGAGTTCCACGGGGGCAGGCCCCATCAATCCTTGAGCGCTTTGGGTGGCCACTCAGAACCGACGCGTTTGTCATCCGCTGATGTTCTTAACACCTTGTATGTTCATTGGCGGCGCTCCGTGCATGCTGATGCTCGTCTTTGGTACCCAGCCCGGCTAGACGCAATGGTGGATTCGCCAATTGTTGTTCTCAGCATGGTGTATGTTCAGTAGCGGCGTCGAGATTGTCTGGTGTTCTCTCAGTGCGAATGGACAGAAAGGTAGTTTCGTCAACTGTTGCTCGCGCGTGTTCCCTGTTCAGTGGCCGTGTCAAGAATATGGCGACTCTCGCCTGGGATTGCCCAAGTGCACATCGCCACAATTTTAGGCGCACGATGTTTTTGCATAGGCAACGAATGAAAAAAAGTACGGGTCCTGCGTGATTAGAGCCTGGTGCAGTTCGTGGCTTCCCAGTGCGTGGTCTCACAGTGCGTGCCGTCTGTGGAGTGCGTTTCCTGGAGCGTTGTGTAAGTGACGCTGCCACTCCATGCCACGATGCGCTGCCCATGCCATTCGTTTTGCAATGCTACGCCATGCCTCCAATGCGACATGGCGGTTTGTTCTGGTGGATGTGTTACGCCCGATCTGAGATGCTACAACATGGTTCTGGAAATGCTGCATGTCACACTATGCTACGCAATGCAATGTTATGCAAACGTGCTGCGAAAGTGTGTGCGTTACCTTGCTATGGAATGTAACGACTTGTACCAAAATGCTACACAATGGTTGAGTATGCGTACCATGGTATGTTACGCGTTGCGACGCAAGGCTGGTTCATTCCAGACGCGCTGCGTGCTACGCAGTGCTAAATGCAAGGATTTGCAATGCAATGCTACCAATGCCGTTATTCTATAGGATACATAAAGCTCTGGTATGCAATGCCATCCTATGTTATGCAATGATTATTGAATGGTTGCGTGCGATGCGTTGCCTTGCGATGATGCGCAACCGTGCTGAGATGTTATATGGGTTGCAATGTTATGCTGTACCGTGCTATGTTATGATATACCATGCAATGTGTTGCTATATTGCGCAGTACAATGCAATGGAGCGACATGGGCAAACTCTGCCACCCAAGCTATGATTACGGTGGTGTACGACGTTCCAATGTGATGTACTAGTTGTACGCCATGACATGATGTGATACTTTGCGCTATGATATGTTATGACATGCTGCTCCCTGCAGCGCTGAAGTGATATGCTATGCTACGCTATGCGGTGATATACTGGGCCCCGCAATGCAGTGCTGCGCCGTGCAGGGGGATGAGAGGGAGGAGGATAAGGAGAACGAGGGGGGGATCAGGTTGAGTAGGAGGAGAAGGAGGAGAGGGAAGAGGAGGAGGAGGAGGAGGAGCAGGAGGAGGAGGAAGAGGAGGAGGAGGAGGGGGGGATGAGGGGAAGGAGGAGGAATTGGAGGAGGGATGGGGACGAGAACGAGGACGAGGAGGAGGAGGAGGAGGAACGCCGCCGCCGCCGCGGGGGGGCGCCGCTAGTCATGCGGGCACTCCCGCCGTCCCTGTCAAAAACAATACAAAGTGCTCGTGCCCCCCCCGATCATGACCAAAGATGTTGCCTTGACATCGATTTCGATTTGTTCTCTGACAGGGACGGTGTGGGGGGGGTCTCATTGGTCCTGGTTGGCTGCCACGCCTGCCCGAAGGGGAAGAGTGAAGATGGAAGAGGAAACTCGCGAAACCACTCACGCCCAGAGGGCAAGTGAGATTTCACATCTCCTTTCACATTTCTTCTGACCTCCTACGTTCTCTCGACTGCCGTCCACTCCTTCTGTGCTCCTCTCCACTCCCTCTATTGCCGCATCCCCCTCGTCCTCTGAGTTGGCACGGCGGTGGTGCTGTACCAGGCTTTGAAGCAGTATGTAGATGCGGACTTCGTAAACATGTCGAAGCAGGAGAGGCGTGATGCGATCCGAAACGGAATCGGCGACATGAATGATGAGACAATGTGGGGGGTCGTCCGCTTCAACCGCTACAACCAGAACAACGGCCGCGGCACAGCTGCTTTTCAGATCGTTGCTGATACTACCAAGTGGCCAGTCCCGGACGCGGAGCAATTGTGCATCCTGCCATCTGAAGCCGCGGAGACTTCTTTGGTGGTACCGTTCGCCACTTGGGAATCGCGCTTCACTGGCTGTCCGAATGGCACGTACAACAGTGGGGCTGAGTGTGAGCCTTGTCAAGCGGGCAAGGCTTGGACCAGTGAGTCGCCTGGCTTCTTCGTGGATGGCGAGGAACCGCTGAGAAATTGCGAGGAGTGCGAGCAGGGTAAGTACCACGACGATATTGGGGGGGCGACGTGCCTCGATTGCAGCACGAACTCCTATGCAAGCGCCACTGGCATGTCCGCCTGCACCCAGTGCTCCGCGGGCAGAATGCAGCACCTTACCGGTCGGACGAGCTGTTACAATTGTGCGAAGGGCACCTTTTCGAACCTGACCCTGGACGAGTGCGAACCTTGCGCGGCAGGCACATATGCGGATTCCACCGGGATGGAGGTGTGCTTCGAATGCCCCGCGGGTAAAGCGATCGGCGAGCCTGGACAGTCCGCCTGCATAAATTGCGCGCTTGGCAAGATCGCGATGACGATGGGGATGGTTGAATGCGATGAGTGCCCAGGCGATCTTACGACGCAGTACCCCGGTTCGACGCTGTCAAAGGAGTGCCAGTGTCCAGAGGGCAAGTACAGGGACAAGACCGACCGCACAGTTTGCCACGACTGCCCTGAAGGGATGACCTGCGCCTTCGGGTCTGACGAGATCAACTGGGAAGTCGCAGGCTCTCGCAGGCTGACGATGAGCGACGCGGGCCCTACGACACCGCAGCTGCAATCGGGCTTCTTTTCGGCAGAGTCGTCTCCGCTTTCCGTCTACAAGTGCCCGCGCGAGGACATCTGCTCTTGCCCGGGGGGCGACCCTGGAGAATGCTCCGGGGAAGGCGACAAGTCGCGTGTGGGCCTGCTTTGCTTCGACTGCCAGGAGGGCTTTGTGCGCACGGAGTGTGGCTGCGAGGAGTGCTCGCCTATCAGTAAGGCAGTCCAGCCACAAACGGGGGGACTTCTGGTCCTTACCCCCCTGGGAGACCCAACGATCTCGACAACCCGCCCGAGAGATCGTGGATGCGATGGGTTCCTTCCAGTGGGGCAAGGAATACAGCTGCCTCACCTGTGGCTGGCCGGCAAGGTCGGCATCGTCATGCTCCCCATCATCGCCTTCGGTGGCTGCATCATATTGTACTACCTCGGGAACTCCGCCTACAGCACCAAGGCAGCTCGCAAACTTCACGATATGCCGCGCGGTCTGTCTCAGCCACGCGCAGAGGGGGGGTGGGGGGAGGGGGGGGCTTCTTAGAAACACCCCGGCTTCTTAGAAGGCGCGGCCTTGTCTATAGATGTAAGGCCAGCGCCTTCTAAGAAACGGCCTCCTTCTAAGAAGCCCTCCCCCCTCCCCCCACCCCCTTGTGCGCACCGCCAACTGTCTGCTCGGGGCTACGCGGCTCTCCCCACGAGCTCACGAAACGGGCGACACCTGCGCAGTCGTCCGCGGCCCCCCCTGGGCGCCGCGAGGTCCCGCAGGGGTCTGCGCGATTACCCGACCTGCTGGACCTCCCGGAACCAAGGGCGCCCTCGAGGGCGCCGAGTTATTCGCGCCTCGCGGTTCGGCTCCGATTCCTCTTCATCCTCCTCTTCTCCCTTGGGAGGCGGCGCGAGAGCGCGAAGTTATTCGCACTTCGAGCAGCGCGAAGCGCGAAGTTGGGAGCCCTTGGGAACCCTTGCCAACGTGGCAACAGTTGCGTAATTCGCAGCCCCCCAGTGAGCCGCAAGGTTTCAAAACCGTCTGCGTGACTACCCACCCCGCCGGATGTCCCACAAACCCACGAACGTGGTGAAAGTTGCGCAGCTTGCAGCCCCCCAGGGAGCCGCGGGGTCCGCGTGACTACCCGCGCCGCTGTACCTTCCCGGAGCCCACGAATGTGACGACATTTGCGGATTTCGCAGCCCCGCTGGGGGCCGCGAGGTTTCAAACCAGTCTGCGTGACTACCTACCCCGCCAGACGTCCCAGGAGCTGGCGGAAGCGGCGATAGCTGCACAGTTCGCAGCCTCCGAGGGAAGTTCGATGTCTCAAGCGGGTGTGCGTGACTACCCGTCTTGCTGGACCCCAACGAACCTTACGAACGTTGCCACCGCTGCGCAGTTCGCACCCCCCCGCTGGACCTCCCAGGGGCCCACGGGAGAGGTGACACTTGCGCAGTTCGCGGTCATCCTGGTGATCGCGAGGTCTCAAATGGATCCGCGTGACCACCCGCCCCGTTGGACGTCGCAGGAGCCCACGAGTGTGGCGACAGCTGCACCATGCGCAGCCCCCCAGGGAAACGCGAGGCCTCAAGCGGGTCTGGTGATTACCCGCGCCGCTAAATTCCCCACGATCCCAAGAAAATTACGACCACTGCGCAGTTCGCACACCCCAGGGAACCGCAAGGTTTTAAACGGGCCAGCGTGGCTACGCATGCCGCTGGACCTCCCAGGGGCCTACGAAACAGGCGACCGTTGTGCAGTCCGCAGCCTCCCCAAAAGGAGGAGGAGGAGGAGGAGGAGGAGGAGGAGGAGGAGGAGGAGGACGAGGGGGAGGAGG